GGACCCCTGAGGGACACCACTCGTCACCGGTCTCCATCCGGACATCGAGCCACTGACCACTACCCTCTGGACGCAACCATCCAGCCAGTTCCTTATCCACCGAACAGTCCACCCATCAAATCCATAGCTCTCCAATTTAGAGAGAAGGATGTTGTGGGGGACCGTGTCAAAGGCTTTGCAGAAGTCCAGATAGATGGCATCCATTGGTTTTCCTTTGTCCACTGTTGTTGTCACACCATTTTGAGCCCTCCACTGTCATCTGGGCTTCTCTTGTAGGAGCAAAATACATGTGTAGTAGAAAATTTAAACAAAACCAAATTATATAAACATATACTACCTGACTTCTTTAACCATCTAAAAATATTTTCAGTACATTTGTACAATAATGCTTTCCCTGTGTTTCTCTGCCTCAGTACTTTGGTTCATTAACACCTATGGCTGGTATACTATAGATATTAAGATCTTATTTTCAGATAATATGATTTATTTTTTTTTTATGCCAGAGAATCAATGACTTGCATTTAAGAAAAGAAAAACATGGGATTGCCATTTATTAGAATCAAAGATAGGTCAACAAATAGCTAATTTCTTTTGTATCTGCCTTGGGTATTTTTTGCCACAGGGGCTGGCTCTGACATTATATGAACATATAACCAGTGTGTATCTGACTGTTTGGAAAGTAGCGGTTACTACCAAAAAATTCATTGACACTTTTTCTTTGGAATTCTGTAAGGGTGGAATTTACATATTCTGAATTTACAATCTCTGTCTTATATTTAGCTATTTAGATAGGAAATTAGACCTTAAGGTGGGGGTAAAGAACATGGTGCAAAGTGTGATTTCTGCTGACAAAGCACGTTACTGCTCAGTCATGTTGCTTACTGAACACCAAAGGCTAGGGATCCCTTGCTTAAAGCACTAACTGGGCAGTTATCAAATAGCAGCCACATGAGTTAACCAGTCTCATGGTCTTTTCCCTGTTTTGGAGTCACTGGTAGAGATTGCCTCCTTTACCCATAATGATTTTCAAATTCTGTTTCTGCTTTTAAAATAGTTTTATATGTAAATTTTCTGTATAGAGTGCATTAGATGGTATCTAATGATTTTAATTTTTTTTTAAATTACAGATATTTGATTACCCTGCTTTGTCCTATTTTTCAAATTTGGATGGCCTAACTAGTTAGTTTATGATCCATCATGATAATGATCAGAAAACCTAAGCAGCAGGTGATAAAAATGAGAAGAGCAACTGACAATTCTTACAGAAGTGTGGCTACTGTATCGGAGAAAGAGGGATTTGCAAGGGGAAGGCTTCTACTAATTAAAATATAAGTGTTTGGATCACAAGGAAAGGGAAGACCTCTGTTTTTTTGTTTTTTTTTTTTTTTTTTTTAAACAGGAGTAAGTGTGAAAGTTGGGGAGGAGAAAAGAGATGAAGACAACACAAATTGACTGCTAGTTGGAAGACAGCGTCAGAATGTCCCTGCCTAACTAACTTTTCCCTCCACAAAATTTCTTGGCAGGCTTTCTCCACTGTGAGGCTGTATTTATACTTGTAAATTAAACATCTCTGGAAATCTTCTTGGACGCAAAGAGCAACTGGCATGAAATGGCCCACATCTATGCTAGTAAATTTTCTTATCTTCCAAAACAAGGCAGTAGGACAGAAACTGCTTGAGGAATGACCTTGGAAGGCGTCCTCACATCAGGCTGGGAAGGTGCCTAAGGAGAGTGGTGGTTGTCACAAGCCAAATCCATGCCAGGGACTGTTGTCACAGTAACTAATGCAGGCAACTACACTTCATTGAGTTTACTGCTATCGACATAGCTTAAGACTCCTACGGTTATTCTGACTCCCATAAAGGGTTGAATATGATAAAAGAGATTTCCTGCTCTGCCTCCCTCAAAATGACTGGGTTGGGATCTGTCTTAAATAATAAGACTGTGTCAAAAGCAACAGGAGCATAAAGCTAACCAGCATAGGCTTTTGCTAAGATGAATTTACTGCAAGAATTATCAAGGATAGAATCTGTAGGTGCTAAAAATAAAGGGAAACAGGAGGACAAAGTGGGTGAAGGGAAACAGGCGGTGGGATTGGTAAGGAACAGTTAATCATAAAGCTGAAGGAGAATAAAGGAGGAGAGAAAAGAAATGTCAGTTCTGAAGGAAATTAGGAAAAGACTCAGAAATTAATATAACATGGGTTATGAAGAAAGCTTTATTTATCTGCTTCATCTCTTAAAATTCTGCAGAACTAGAATTGACTGATTTTTCACATCTTTTTTTTTTTTGGTGCGCTTCATTATTAAAACCAAGCATTATTTTTGGCCTAGTGCAAAACTTGTATCTGAATTTAATATGGGAATAAAGCTTTAAAATCAGCAACTGCTTTGCTTTAAAAAAAAAAAAAAAAAAAGACAAAACCAAACAAGAAAACCCTTCCCAAAACAAAAAAAAACACACCAAAACAACCAAAAAAACCGTGTTGGAACAATGACAAGATACACTTGCTTTTCAAGATAATTTTGTTTCAAGTACAATGTAAATAAATGGGATTTTTTTTGGTGAAAGAAGCAAAGAATAAGTTCAGGTATAAGTTGCTAATGTGCTGCAGCAGAAAAAAAAAGGTATGAAGTGCTGTGTGCAGAGGCACCACGTCTCTGAGCAAGGAGGTAGTAGTTTATTGTCTAAGATTGAATTACTGTATTTTACTTTCAGGAATATAGATTTCTGTAATATGGACAGCAAAACTTCATTTGTTGTTATTCATATTTTCTCTCAAGAAAAAAACCCTTGTCTTTAAAAATTTTCCATTAGAATTTAACAAATCAAGTATGGATTAATATGCAGTCTTCATAACATTTTCTATTTTAAACATACTGAAACAGTGTATTTTTGTTTTTAGAATATAAACCAGTTGGCAAGATAGGAGAGGGAACATTTTCTGATGTTCTGAAGACACTGAGTCTTAGGGATGGAAAGTACTATGCATGTAAACGCATGAAGCAACGTTTTGAAAGGTATGCATAATTAATTGTAGTACTGCATAGTATTTAAATTCGCTGGGGAAATATGAAATTAAGACTAAGTGAAGTTTTTTGAATACAAATGCATTAAAAAGGTTTGCATGTAGAACAGAAAGGGAACTCCACTGCTGATTATGCAGGGCCTTCCCATTTGGCACTGGGGCTATTTCCTTGAGTACTCTAACTGATGTCATCCACTATATGAAGTGCTGCCTGGCCACTGGGTGGAGGATGAAACAAGAAGAATGAGGACTAAATAGTTGATTTCTGCTTTTCCAAATGCACTGAATATACTTGTGCTGTTTTTCTTTTTGCTGTAAATAATAGTAGTAGGAGGAAATGTGTCAGTCCTCCCCCTACATAATACTTTTTTTCAGTCTTACTTTAAATACCATTTTAATGCAAGTTAAAACCAGTGATTGTATTCTTAGTCCATGTATAGGATTAGTTCCATTTCATATTTGCATTTATATTTAGTTATATCCATCAGCAAGACGTTATCTGGTCACAAAATAGGCGCTTTTTAGCGGTTAGGAAAATAGAGAGGGCTGTGTGGAAGTAGACATAGACTTGAAATTCTCCTCCAAATATATAAGTGCCTAACAATGCCCTTTGGGTCACTGACTTTGCATTCTCAGTTAAATATATTAATTTCCTAGTGAAATCAGTGGGAGTGACACATTTGTACATGCAAAGTAAAATGGGACATTTCGCTCTTAGGTGAGATTTCACAATGTAACTCTGAGCTTCAAAGACTAAGGAAAAGTGAAGCTCTGAAGAAATTACTGTAAGTTTAAAAAAAAAAACAAACTCAAATATCTTCAAGTAATGTGGCTTCTGATTCTTTATTGAGTTGTCAGAGAAATGTTGGTCCATTTATACGTTACCTACAACTGACCAAATTACCCAAAATATGATCAGAAAAGCATTTAAACTAACTGCTTAGCTACATTAACAGCAGATGGTATACAGTTCAGTGGTAGGGCATAACAAAGTCTTTTTTTCATGTAGCATGTTTCAAACACCTTTAGGCTTTTAACCCTTTGATGAATTGACTGACAAATTCTCTTGATTAAACGAACTGTTTTAGCCACAGATAACAGTGTTTTAAACAGAACCTGCCTGTACACAGTATTTCTCCTAGTTTCAAATTGGAAAATACTGTTTTGGTGTTTACCTTTAAGTCAGACTGTGAAAAGGCGTGTGTGTCCTGTTCTGATCCATTAAATAGTGTGCAGAGCAATTTGTTTCCTGCTTCCTCCCCAGAGTTTCTGTAGCCTGTAGTTTTATTGTTTATTAACGTCTAGGAAGGCAACATAATAATTAAACAATAGTTGAATAGTGTCTATTTTTTATGTAAGAGGTTACCATCAACGTTTAATTTTAAATGTTAAATTTGGCAAGGCTAGATTGTCACTTTCAGCATCGTGCTGAACAGTAGTTGGAATGTATGCTACACCAGTGCAGAATAAAGAGTGTCATACATACTGTTATGCAACACGAAATTTCCCCCAGATAGCTCCTTGGCTTGGTAACTCATGTATGGAGCACAATATATTACTACTTATCTTGTTTGGGCAAGTCCAGCTACTCCAGACTGCAAGAAGGAATAAAGCCATTCTCCTGATTACTGATTTGCTCTATAAAGAAACAAAGCAGGCAAACATTTCATCAGGTCCTGCATTTGAAAGCTCAATTACGGACTAAAGTGGAGTAGATCCTGACAGTCTCATGGCAAGGCAGAAAGACAATTACAATCCAGCCTCTGATTGCAAGTCAGTCTTCCTCTTTTCTTTTTAATTCAACTTTAGTATGGAACAAGTGAATAATCTGAGAGAAATAAAAGCACTAAGGAGGCTGAGTCCGCATCCTAATATCCTTATGTTACATGAAGTTGTTTTGTAAGTATGGTGCATTCATTTCTTTCTTCCTTATTCCTTTATTTGAACGATATTCAGTAACTTTGGGGTCTAGAGGTAACCTGTAGGCACTTAACCAGTGCCTATTTTACCAGTTTTAATCCAAAAGAAAGAAAAAAACAACAAATTGCCAAATTCTGAAGTCTTCATGCCTTTTTTGTTAAGAAAATCTGATGTAGCTCTCACTTTCTCTGGTTCTTTTGCAGCAGACCAAAAATATTTCAATGTCAGTATTAAAATTACAGACCAGATATATTTTAAGCATAGCTAAACTTTGTATCATAATATGTAATACTTGCTGGTGATTTCAACCCATGTCCCATATCCAGCAAGTGCTTTAACTGCACATCATGTCTGCTGGAGACAGTATTTTGGTAAGGTGCACTCAGAGCTTATCTGCTGGAATAGGCTCTGGTACGTCAAGGATCTTGGCAGTATCATTTTGTAGGCAACTTTACAGACACCCCTTTGCAAATAATAGAATTTTAGACCTCTGAATTAGGCAGCAGCTGAGCTATGAATTTGGAAAGAGATCAGTCAGTGATGAAGTTGGGTTCCTTAGCCTCATTAGGCACTTAAGTGTCTTCTGGGGACATGTCCTGTCTCACAAAGAGATCAGGTTTTCTGACAGCATTTACTCCACTACTGTGCGTTAGACTTCATCACTGTGCAACGGCAGACTTAGACTTCATTATTCAAATACTTGACACAAAACTTGTTGACTGCTCTAAAATATTTTTTTTCTTGCTCTTCAGACCATCTTATTCCTCTGCTCAGGGCTCTGGTACTATACTGTTGTTGACAGGCCCGTTTTCTACATATATATGGAAAGCCAGTAATCATGTCAGCAGCTTAGCTTTCTGGAATTCTCAGCTTCAGCTGCCGTGTTGTTAACGAAGTGTAATCCAGATGGCCAGCCAGCTCGCCTAGCTCTTTCACAGTCTGTCTGCAAACTGAATTGCAGATTGTACCCTCAACCTTTTGCTGTCTGGGTTAACGGAACATTGCAGAGGGGATGTACTTTAATGCAATTATCTTATGAGAAAAACTGAAGACCTAAAGATTTCTGCCTCTGCAGGGCAGTGAAATGGAAAATAAAGTGTCAGATATATTATCATATTGTGATAATACTTAAAACTGCTGTTGTCAGCAAAACAGATTCCAGTCAGATACTCATTTCCATGCAATAGGACACTACTGGTGACCTAACTATAAAGTATTTTCATATAGGGTGTAATGGCTTTCCTATCTTTTATTGTAAGATTGTGTCAGTTAATTTACTGGAAATTTTTTTGATACTGAACAATGTGATATGCCCAGAAAACATGCCTTCAAATAACTTCATGGAGTAAATCAGTTAACTTTTGCAACAGGCACTTTGGATAGTATAAATTAAAACTATGATACCTCAGACCCTAAGTTGAAAAACTGCTATGAGAAAGTATCAGTTAAAAATGAAAACATCCATTTTAATACGAGTTAAACTAAGTACTTTTTTCTATGCTGTGTACCAATCAACATTTCTGGCTTAAATTATCCTTATTTGTTTCTTCAGTGATAAAAAAGCTGGCTCCCTTTCACTGATATGTGAACTTATGGACATGAATATTTATGAGCTGATAAAAGGTATGTAGCATATGCTTAGGAAACACACAACCCCTTCTTGTGTAGATCACAAAGTGGAATTGATTATTTTTCACTTGGTTGTTCACCATTACGTATTATAAAATTCATAGGGAAATTTTGTGCTGTACTGCTTTACTCTATTTCTTTCCCGTGCAATATACCCACTTGTTTAAGGCATGGATGCATGCAGAAGGTTTCTAATGGGTGAGGTCAATGGCCATCTATTTCTACAGTCAAACTTTACATGAAAACAGGGGAACAACCTTGACTGCCAAACACAAAATAATTGCTTTATGTAACAAAACCCACAACTTAAATAGGTTCTTTGTTAGGTCAGGACTGTAATGATATAACAAGAAAATTATTACCATTTGTTTCAAAATCTACTGAATCAATAAATAATGATTTTCAGTTTTTATATCTAGTAAAAATGCCTTTTACCAAGTTTTCTCTATAAAATAACATTGTTCCCCGAAACGTCCTATATTAAAAAACTCTGGAGCTGTTTGTCAAAGCAGATGGGAGACCATAAAGCTTAAGGAAGAGTTCCTACAAAAAAGTTTAAAACAAAAGCTGTTTTAAAAACAGATCTTGTATAGACATCAAAGGAGTCGGATACAGTAAGTGACGGGGCACTTACTTGTAATTCAATATTAAAAGAGGGTTCTTTTCTGAATAATTAAAAAATTGTAATGTCTTAACAGTTGGGAGATTCATTTAAATAACTGAGCATGCAACTGTCATTCTGTGTAATAGAACAGATAAAAGACTTGCTCCCAAACATTACGTTAGCGACTCTGAGTATTCAGATCTCTAACAAAAGGAGTAACCCTGTTCCTGACCTAGATAAGAACTTCAGGTTAAAATACAGTTGGTTGTTGATCACTGAAGCAGACATGAATATTTGCTGGTTTTAATAAGACATTTTATTTTTCCAGGAGAAAATTGTTAAGTTGTAAAGGCAGAGTAATAACATATAGGAAGGAGTCCTCATTGGACATTAAGTTAGTCCAGTGCATTAAAAACAATTCTGGGTCCTCTCCTTCCAGGAAAGATACTGTACTTCAGTTATGAAAAATCAGAATGTTTAGGTTTGTTCTTTAACTGCCTTTTTTTTACCTCAGAGTATTTGCTTTCATTTGGTTACATTTCTCAGTATTTCTCTCATTCTTTTAATGTGAAAAAGCCTGCTATGTGAAGCATTGTATATGGATGGAAATTAGTTTAATAGTGGCAGTATGTTTGACTATGGCTTTTTTTTATTTTAAAATACAGTTTTTATCAAATTCAGTTTTCCATAAGATGATTGTTTTCCTGCCACTTAGTTTTAAAAAACTCCTTTTTAATGGCATGGTGAATCAGTAAAGAATTAAATCTGTGTTCAGTTGTAATCTGAAATGCTGCAGTTAAGGGTTATCTAAACATTAAGCTGGGTCTACCTGAATTTCTATAAATTGCTGGTTCTTTATGGTCTGGATTATGTGTCTGGACTGTGTTTCCCATGATACAATGTCTTTTTTTCACCTTGTACAAGGTGGTGGCACGTTGGGTGGAGCTTGTCAAATCACAGAATAAAATGGGAAAATTAACAGATTCCTATAGAGATTATCATAAATAGAATTTTTTTAAAGTATGTTGATATTTTGAAGTATTTAAGTATTTCATTTGTGTCAAGTGTTTTGCATTTTTCAGAAATTATTTTGGGAGTTTCAAAGTAGACGTGTCAACACCACAATTTCCTATGTGGTAGAAATAGTTTATTATTTGTTTTCTCCCCCAAACAACTCTACTTGTGGCTTATTGCAAAAGCAAGAAATGTAACATGTGGCAGTAATTTCAAACAATAACTATGGCAAAAATTCCAAGTCCATTATGAAATTGGAAAATTAATCTTAGTTCTGAGCCAGAACATTTATTGACTGAGGATATCTACATAACAATGGCAAGTAGAAGGAGCTTCCTTTGAATTAGCAGCATTGTGACTTGAAGGAGTGTGTTACTAATTTGTAGAACAATTAAATTGTGTTCATTAGCGATGCTCTGTCACAAAACAGCTTTCAGAGTGTACAAAAGTAGTTACATTTCACATGATTTGTAGTCTTTTATAAATTTCTACAGTGTATAGTAATGTGAATGCTTGTCATTTTCTGACTACTCTGAATCTTGCAAGATTAAGTTTAATATAGGTACAGAACAACTTAAAAAGCTGTACGTTAGAAAAATGTAGAGGCAGGTACGGTTTGTATGAAATTTTGTAATGAAGAAAAACTTGAAGCAGGAGTTGACTGAAAATGGATTTCTATTTTAACAAGGTATGGAGACACTTCTGTAATTAGGAGAACAGGTTCACTGTAATGCTACTAATGTGGAAGGTTGATCCTTTTGGTTTTTTCCTTAATAAAGTGACAGATTCATGTTACTTCAATCAAGACAAGGCTATTTGTCTTTACACAAAGTCATACTACTCTTGCTATTGATTTATAGTTGTGCACAAGTAATTTAATAATGAAAAACAGTCTTGCCTTTTGTTTAACCAAGAACAGTTTGGTCATTTAAAACGATGAAAAAACTATGGCTCAGAGAGAGGTGGGGAAGATGTCTCAAGTGAAAATAATTGTAGCCTCAAGCGCCGCTGCTGTATGATTTGCTTCATCATTACTTCCAACTAAGGTTTCTCTAACAGTAAATTTGGAAGCAGAAGCACATCTGTTCTAGTGACCTGTAATGAAAAAACAGTTGAGCATGACTTCTTTTTATGAAGGCCTGATTTTTTCAATACTAATAATAATCTCAGTTGGTTTGAATAGCTGCATTTTATAAAATCTTTTCTACTACAAATGACAAAAATCCTCATGTTGAAAACAACATCTATCCTTACTGGGGTAATGATACTACGGTTCCCAATATAAATGGCACTCCGTTTTGAGTGCTTTGTTATCTAATCCTGCTCAGTGGATTATGCGGCTGATGGGGGGAGTACTGTAATCAGTTAGGAACACAAGTCCTGCTTAGCTGCTGGGACTTGCAGCCTCAATGAGTTAGTGTCCTGATAATCTCCCTCCTTCTCCCCAGCCAATTACTCATACTACTGTCATCAGGCAGATCAGTACCTGCTTTGTTTTTCAAAAATGTGATCATTTCTGCCTCTGTTGATGACATCGCAGCGTTACATAAAGGCATTACAGCAAGATTAAAAGGCCTCTGGAGCCTATAAAAGAAAAAAGCTGAGTAGTTACTGAATGGCTCTGAAAAATAGATAAATGTTATAGCTGTCATTATTGCGCAATGGCAATAGCAAGCTAGACTACATAGCTTAACCTTTAATCTGCAAGTCAGCTGTGAATCACAGTCGTTTAAGCATTGCAGTAATTTGAGGTGATTGATGGGAGTCCTGAACTTTAAGGACGGTTACTTTGTTTAGAGGGGAAATTAGATGCTTAGAAGTGAAATATTGCAGTTCCGTTAGAACTTGGGGAAACAAGATACTGCAAGAAAAACATGCAATAAAAGTGAAGGCAGATTACAGACTATTGAAATGACAGTTGTTAGCTGAGCTATTCTGGTGCATACTGAAATCTAAATTATGTCTGAAGTGAGTGGAAAATGGATTACAAAGCTAGCTATAAATGACAGAAATAGCATAACTGGAAAAGGTAGTATCAGTGCACTATTGGAAGCTGAAGAGTAATTTTTTTGTATTCTGTTGTTTGCTAAAAAGGACTTGTACAACTTGAAATTTAATTCCAGGAAGGAGAAAGCCATTGCCTGAAAAAAAAATTAAGAACTACATGTACCAGTTATGCAAATCTCTTGATTACATACATAGGTAAGAGACCTGGTTCAGCAACAGCTTTACAGTAAACTTATTGTACATTTATTTCAGGGTCACCTCTAAGCAGAGACATACCATTGTGTGGGGCAGCAGTCTGCTGCAGGGAGAAAAAAGGCCATTACCCAGATGCATCTTTGCCTGTAGCAGAGCCCTGGAAGGCAGCAAGCCCCCAAAGGGGCTCTCGTACCTGCTGCGGTGGCCCTGCAGTGCTTTGGTAACCCTGGTGAGAGCAAACCCGGAAAGCCTGGCCTTCCCTTCCTGGACTTTCCCATTCCCATACCCATAGCTCTTGTCTCACCATGCTGCCAAAATTCATTTTTTTTTCCTGTGCTATTGATAAGTTTGAAGAAAGTATTAGTTTCTTTAAGTATTTTTTTACAAATAACTGGAAGCACTGATAATGTTTATGTTTTTACTGAACTCTTCTCTCTGGTGTGTTTCTGTTGGTACAGAAATGGGATATTTCACAGAGATGTGAAACCAGAAAATATATTAATAAAGGTAATTAATTTTATGTGAGAATATTTCACTGAAAGTGATAGATATCAGTATTTTTTATCTTTACTCTGAAAAGGTAATGCTTCTGCACAAATAAAAGTACAGTCTTTAAAAATATATAGACAGTTACTTCTAATACCGTATTCCTGATCTAGAGGAATGAAGAAACAAGTTTGTTATTGGCTAAAACGTGAAATGAGTCAGATGCATTACAGCCTGCTTGTGTTCCAATCTAAAAACCTGTTCTTTATCCTCTATTAATTTATACTGTCCTTTCTGTGTGTACATAGAAACAAGTCATAAGGTTGAGTTCTGCAGCCCTTTCGTTCTACATTCAATTCCTACGTTTAGCGGAAGTTATCATACAAAAAAGTGCAGAAGGCATTGGCTTTCAGAAGATTTCTTCATTGAAATCTGTTCTCCTGACAGTTGCAGAATGTTGTTTTGCTAATGTCTGAAAAGCAAGGATTTCAAAATTCAGTTTATGAAATTTTATTTTCTGGAGATGATAAATTTTTCTATTAAGGCTTAGAAGTGTATAGGAGAAGCCATTACAAAGAGAAGCCAAAGCCACCTATTATATTGCTGCTGAACACAAGAACTCTAAGAAAATAACTTAATCCAGATGTCCTATTTAGCAGTCTTCCCTTCAGTAATAGCCCATATGCTATTCAATTAACTCTTAGCACTTTCTTTTAATGATGTACAGAATGGTATTTGCACATATTATGGGACACAGATACCTTCAAGCCTACAGCTACTTGCTATTTAAATGCAGTTTTACTGCTATGCTACTATCCCTGGGTTTTCTAAAAGTTTATTCTTAAAGTAATCAGTGCTTTCTTTTATGATGACTACTTCACGCGTTTAAGGAAAATCTTTGCTTGAATATTTCAGTGTTTCTAATTTGTCAAAATCCTTTATTTACTTTTGCAGCAGAATACCCTGAAGTTAGGAGATTTTGGATCTTGTAGGAGTATCTATTCTAAGCAGCCACATACAGAATATATCTCTACGCGCTGGTACCGAGCACCTGAATGCTTACTTACAAATGGCTACTATAGTTACAAAATTGATATGTGGAGTGCTGGCTGTGTTTTCTATGAAATCACAAGGTACAGTGTTCAGTGGAGGGTCTTGCTTATTATTAATCAAGAAAATCAAAGGTAAATAACTCGGATAAGGAGCACGTGGCATGGGTAGTATGATCATTGTTTCCCTGGTTTTGTGGAAGCTTCTTCCGTGATTAGTCTGCAGGGTTCGTGAGGCAGTAATCCTGTCTTGTCTGGTACTCTCCTCACCCTATGGCAGGTTAGTAATAAAGCAGTGGGATGTTCAAGGGGACATAGTACCAAGAAATATTATTTACAAGTAAAGTAATGCTTTTGAACAGTTGGTTGTTTTGTTTGTTGTTTTGCTTTTGGGTTTTTTTTCCTATTGGCTTCATGTCTGAGTTTGGTGAAAATGTGTTTTCTCTGCTTTATCTCTGAATAGAGTATGGCTCATTTCCCATCGTGGGCATTGCTAACTATCCTCAATCTTGTTAATGCACTTGATGCTAAATTTTTTCCCTCTTTTTTGACTTACTATTCTTCAAAAACAGGGGAGATTAGAGAAGACACTCTGATTTACTACTTTAATTTATACTATAGTGTGTTTAAGACCCTTGTACCAGGACCTTAAGTCCTGGAATATTTTTAAGTCAGATTCTGATGAAGGAAGAGTTCAGGAAAACCTGGATTAAAATCCTTTAAGCTTTTCGATGATGATGAAACTATAACTCAAAAATTTGTCACCGGTCTTCAAGAAAAAAGGAAAAAATAACCACCATGAGTATTTCTCCAATATCTTTGTGCCCTAGCAACAGCAGCAGTTCTTCTTTATTCTCCTCCCACACTGCTGTCTCTGATATGCAACCAGGAGTGATAACATTTGCTTCGCTTCTTTCCTCCTCCTCCTCCACATGGCAAGTGCAGCTGCTGCCATTGCCATCACATTAAATGACAACCCTTATGCTTTGCCTGCTAACTTGTAGAAACAGTTCTACTTCGGTCAGAAAACTGTTAACAGAAAAAATCCCAAGCATGGCAGTTCTTTTGCAAAGTAAATTGGGACCAAAAGCTTTAAAAATGCTATGTTTTTCCATTTCTATTTGAATTGGATGGGCTTTGAAGTTTGGCAAGAAAATTACACGCTGCACGCTTAAGTTTTCTTAGGGCAAAAAACCTTACTGATATTTCCTCATAATTTTAGCTTAATGTAACAAATTTCATTCTTCGCAACCACTGCACATTTTCAGAGACCGGATAGATGTGTTCAGAGAGAAATGAGGGATGTTTATTGGAAATCACCAAATTAAAAAAGATACAGCCTTGCCAAGCTAAAGGAGGTTATGGGCAGGTTGGGGGTTTTTTTTAGCACATGTTGCAGTTTTTGCCGTTGTACATTTGTGTAAGCCTTTATGCTTTACACCACATTGTGTAAGGATTTTTAGTTTTTTACTCAGCCATGCTTATTTTTCAAATCTTGCTCTCTTTCTGTTCCTTATAAATCACGGTTCCTGGATTACATATTTTTTTTTTGTGGATTGCACAGTTGTTCTTCCCTAAGTTACAGGTTTACATTTAGAGGCAGCACGTTTATGTAGTTCACACAAAAGCTACTCCCAACTGCTTGTCTTGATACAGCTGCACAACATGAATCAGATCTCTTTTCTCTCCTTCCTCTCCTCAAAGCTTTATAAAGACATTGAGAGAAGCGTGCAGCCAGCTGTTTGATTGAATTTGCAAACACTTAAAAGACGTTTCCTTCTTCTACCAAGAGGGCTGAATGTATTGCTTTCAAGAATCACGTGGTGCTACTGAAGTGTTTCTCAAATTAGAAGAATTGCAAGAAACAAATGTTAGCGGACCTAACTTGTTAAGTCAGATTGCTCTATTGATAACAATGTGTTCAAGGACTCTATGCGAGTTTTATATTAACTGAGGATCGAGGTCAAGAATGCAGTTCAAATTACCATCTTCCCAGTATCGCTGCTTGCAAAGAACCTGTGTGTTAGGAAGGGAATGTTTCTTGTAACTATGTATTTATATGTGCGTACACAGCAAGAGGGACTGCTTGACTCTGCTGTCTTAAAATGGGGAGAACACATTGTGTTCTGGGATCTGCCACTTCACTAGAAAAAAGTACAATTCCATATCCATTGCCTTTCACCAGGAAGGATGTTCTCTTTACGTATTTTGCCCCAAGCCTGTGAGGAGAGGGCAACTACAGGGTTCTGTTTAATAACCCAAGCTACTCTTCCCATTCAAACATGCAGTTGTATGAATCTGCTGCTCCTATGTTATCCTTCAGTTGTTTGTTGGTACATTATTGTACATTTGTCCACAAATTAATAATTCTAAAATGTATCTTCCTTGTAAAGTGAAAATTTTTTAACTGAAGTGGCAGCTATACCACTTAAACTAGTTTAATTGTGTCTTCTCTAGTGCTGATACCATCTCTTACTTTGCAGTTTTCAACCTCTCTTTCCTGGATCTAATGAGCTGGACCAAATTTCAAAAATCCATGATGTTGTAGGCACTCCGGCTAACAAAACTCTCAACAAGTTCAAGCAGTAAGTATGCACTCCCATAGTTATTAATCTCACTGTTTAAATATCCATGATGTAACTGTACAACTGTGTGCAATTTCTGCTCGGGGAACCACCACAAAAATCTAACAGTGTTGTGACAGACAGCTGCTGACCAAAGAGCCGTGTCTTCTGTCCCTGCCCAGAGACAGTCACGCATTCATGATCCTTGTAGGCAGAGCAGAAGAAATCCGGGCCTATATCGATGTTCTTTGGCCTTTTATTTCCATAATATCTTTAAGGCCAGTGAAAGAACTTGTTAGGAAAGAAAACATTTCCGCCCCTCCCCCCCCAAGAATTACTTACTTGTCCCTAATAAATGACGACCTACATCAGATGAGAATGATTTTTTTTTTTTTTTCAGTAAATTGTAATTCTCTCTGAACATGCATGAATAACCTTTTGTTCTCAACTTGCTTAACACAGGTCAACAAACACGAGTTTTGATTTCCCCTTTAAAAAAGGAAAAGGAATACCTCCTCTTGTGCACAATTTGTCTTCCAAAGGCTTCTCTCTCCTGTATGCAATGATAAAATATGATCCTGATGAGAGAATTGCTGCCCATCAAGCATTACAGCACCCTTATTTTCAAGAACTCTGGCAAGTGACTTCAAATCACTTCAGTCTTGAAGACAAAAATTAAGAAGTGGGGGGAGTGCTGTGTGCTTATTATTTAAAGTGGACTGAGATGAAGTTTGCTGACAGTGCTGGTACTTAGCTTGCAATACAATGCACATAATTCAGTCAATGTAATTCTTTGTAGTGAGTCCAAACTTCACCTAAAGCACAGCTGATGTTTTTCTTTCTTTTTTCCCCAAACTTTTTAGGGCAGCTGATACACAAGCTTTGGCCATACACAAAAATTTAAGATTACTAGAAAATACAGCAGGGCAAGTACCTCTGCGTTTGTGGGAAATTTCAAAGGAAAGTCAAAGACAGGTAATATTTAAGTGGAAGAATTGTCAGCCAATTTAGAGAAAGTAATTTGTCACACTGAGCTTGTTAGCTAGAAACAAATGTTTTACTTAAGCTGATTACTTGGCTTTATTTGGTCTGCCTAAACGCTGATCTTTACTGGGTCTGAAGCAGTTCCACCCCCTGCAAGCCCTGAAAATCATGAGTTAAAATTCAGAAGCTGTGGTACCACACAATCCCCTCAGTAGATGGCTGTAGTGGTCGCTATCACTTGGGAGGGTTGGTTCCACGTTTTTTGAAAATATCTTCATCCTCTTCTTTTGCTGCTTGCCTTTGGATTAAAAAGTTGTACAGGTGAAGGTGTAGCAGAGACAGAACATGTGCTTTTGCCTTTTCAGGCCTTTGGTCTACATTCAGAACAAATTATTATTTTTTTAAAAAACTTAATTATCCTGTATATAGATGATATCTGGGAAAATCCTAAATTTATATTTGACACTGGAAATCAAAAAATTAAAATCAGATTTAAAATTCTGGCAAGCTAAAACTTTGTTTATATGCAAGCTATGTGAAAAACACTCAACGTGTTCACTCTTACGGGTTTGCTACATCTGCAAGGTGAGACAGAAGTTACTACTACATGAAAAGCTCTCAAATACAGGTTTTTCTCAAAAAACCAAATTACAGTAGCAAAAAAAACTATAAAGTATTTTCTGCTGTGCATTTAACCTTGAAAGCATGAACTGGCATGAACTTCCATAGGAGCAGCCACTTTTTCCACCAGTTAGTTCTGGGGTTCATCAATGTGGGCTTTGTAAGAAGTTCCTACAGGAAAAATTGCAAGAAACATCAAGTGAGGTAGTAGTTTTTTAAAAAGAATTAGCTGAAGTAGTATTTGGCTGGGGTTTTTTTTTATGATTATTTGGATTTTCTATTTTAATTTTATTCCATAAGATGTTCTCAGAAAGAAATTGAGTCTTGTTTATTTTAAAAGCATTCTCTTAGGAAAGTCCAGGAAAAAAGAAAACAACATGGACCTCCTCGTGGAGAATTACCAAAATTAAATCTTTCTGGAGTAGCCAAATTGACTTCCTGTCCTTCTCCTACATTGCATTCAGTTTTCTGGGCACCTAAGGAAAGTGGCAAACCCTCCGAGTTACAGTCTGTTAGATTTATTGGATCAAATACAGAGGTATAGACTCTAACTTGCTCATTAAAGTGTAATAGCAAAATGTGTTTTACAGAGTGTATTTCAAACTTCTGTTGTTTCCTCAACAGTCTGAGAAACAGAAGGCACTTAAGTCTTCCCCAAAACCTTTCCACTTACCTGCTATTGAACGAAGAGGAGGAGGAGGTTACTGACCACCTTGTAAAGAATTCGGAGTGTGAGGAAAAGCACGACTATGCAGTGAGAGAGCACCAATCGTGCTCCTGTTGTCAGAGATCTAGCAAGAACAGCAGTGCCTTATTTTGTGTTTCTCTGACAATTTGTAGGAAAACCCTGCAAGGCTATGAAGGGCTGCTTACCTGCCATTTCGCTATTCTGTTCCTGAAGAGTATCAATATTTAATTAAAGCATTGTTCTGGCGGAGCTGAGAGAGCACTCTGTGTAGACCTTTCTAAGTACTTTTTCCTTTTAGAACCTGATGGAGGAGGTTGGTTAAAAATAACATGAAAGGATTCTTTGAGCTCAGTAGTGGGAATTGAACGTTACTGACAAAATACAAGCTTTCATATTATATTATAAATGACAGATAACTGTTGTGTATTTTTTAGGTTTAAAATTTTTTTATCTTTCAGTCAACTCTGGAAAGTATTCATTCATTTCAGCCTCAAGTTTTATTAAGAACATGCAGGTTATGCACTCATGAGATACTTGATTTTGATGCAGTTTCTGTAACTGCTAAATATTTTTATATAACTATAATCTAGCTAAAAGCTAAAGCAACTTTTTATCTATCTGATTCAAAAGCAAATAAAATTTAGTCAGTTTTTTTCAAGCCATTCATCTTAAGATCAAAAGTTTTAAGTGTGACCGATATTGCAGCTAGCTGCTTAGAAGAGCAGTGTAAAGGCTTACCCTTACCATGTTTTAGAAATTTTGTGCACAGATCATCAGTAACCGTTTAATAGAATGTTACTGTTTGTAGTGCTGTAAAAGAGTTAAAAGGCAGCATTTTTACCTTACTTGGAAAGAGTAGTTATTGCAATTCGATGCCATTGATTTTAAAATTCCTGAGAACTCCTAAGAATTTGCAATAATTAATTTGCAGTACTTAAATGATGTGGTACAAACCAGTTTTGGTATTCAAAAAACAAATGAGTGTGTGCAAATCATACTTAACTGGGGGGCTTAAAAATCTTCTGCCCACCAAGTATGCATGCAAGACAGGTTTTGCAAATATCTTTTTTTGGTTTTTTTAATAGTTCTAAAAGTTACTTTGCTAATAATTAGGAAGTGATCAGCTTTTTTTTTCCAGTAACCAAACACCTCTGGGACTGCTGCTGCTGTTCAACATTTTCTTGTGTTAGAAGTCACTGCTGCACACGAGGCACGATGAAAAAACGCACTGGGTAGCAGATCACGTTCAAGTTACTAAGCCAATCCTTAAGGATCAATTTGAGATTGGTGCCCTAAATCCAAACTGTTTATTATAATCACTTAAGATGCAGTAAAATATACGTTAACGTAAAGAAGTTATGAAAATGCTAGTCTTCTAGAATAAAAGGTATGCCTATTATGCTCTCAGCTCTCCTTACGAGATTTTATTAGGCTATGCATTTGCGAAAATAACAATTCTCTCAATTAGAGGTGTTCTAGTGGGTGGCTTTTTTGTTGTGTTATTTTGGTTGGTTCATTGTTTTGTTTAGAATGGGCATCTCAACACGCGTAGGATTCTGTTGTGACTGCATTAGATCCTTGCCCTTGTTCTACCATTCAGCTTCTGGATAACTTCGAGCTTGCCCAAATTCTACATTGTCATTTTTCAACACGGGGAAGCTCATGAATCCTTTTGAAATCTACTGCTTAAAAACAGTTGCCTATCTTATGTTTATCTTCTCATTTTGGAGAAGGTAGTGTTTTCATGTACTGTACTGTGGATCAACATGACATTTGCTAGCAGGCTTTTTTAAAATGTGAAAATATTAGCAGACTAAATGTCTGTGTATGTACCGCGGGAGTCGGTTTTTGGTATCGATTCAAATTTGGCTCCAAGTTGAGTATCTTGCACCTATATCATGGCCTCCTCCTCTACCTTTGCTCATTTTATTCCATTTCTTCATAGCAAACTTTCAGAATCTCAGTAGCAAGAACAGAAAAACATCCCAGCCCTGGGCATCATAGCACATGAACAGGGCTCTGCAGGAAAACCTGCATTGCTGCTGCTTGGCCGAGGTATGCCAGAGGAAGAGCAGATTTCTCTTGCTAGGATTGAACAATCACGTAAGCAGAGTTTTAGTAGAGGAAGTGTTCTGCATCGGTAGAATGGGAAGATCATCATAAAGGGAGAATTCAACAGCAGAGCAAAGCGGTGCAGCTAACTGCTTTTTCTCATTTTATTGAAACACGTACAGGCTGGGCGCTGCCTTTCCTCCAGCTCCACGCAGAAAACATGCTCCTGACCACGGTATCTCAAAGTGCAGCGGGGTACGTAAGGACAGAGTGACTGGCTGAGTGTTACCGCTCCGTTACAGTTAATCGCCTCCCCACTTCGTCACGCGTTCACGTTAGCAGCTCATGCTGACAGAACAGATAGAGAACTTCAACAATAAGGCAATCCAGTATTTGTTTGAATACCTAGCAGAGGTGGGTATATATATATATATTTATGATGCTAAGCTTAGGAAATGGAATTGAGGACTGCAGCTCTACAGGCAACAGAGCGTACCAGTAACTTCTGACTGCTTACCTTTGGAACCTCGAGCAAAAGGCGCCATGAGCTCATCCAGTGTTTTTTCCAGAGAAGATGATGGTGAGTTGATTGGTGCTAATATACTTGGAGTTGAGCATGGTGTGCAGCAGTAAAAATAGGTAACTTACTGTATCTGAGGGATCTTGCTCTTCACAGTTATTAATTTCTTACAAAATTAAAAAAAAAAAAACCCAAAAGGACAAATCCTACTACCCACATTTGATCATTCAGGCTCCGAGCTCTCCGACCTAGCATTATACAGTAGGCCAAGGCTCATATTATCAAGAATATGTTCCCAATGGAGAGATGTTACTTGTATTGGTAGCTTCCCATAATGTTTTTCTGGAAACCTCAAATCACAGATGCTGAAGTTTAAATATTTCAACTAAAAAAAAAAAAAAAAGAAAAAAAAGAAAAAAAAATACATCCCTTGGCTCATGCATGCGCAAGATACCTTCCTGTTCTCAAAAGCGTTACTGCAACTGCTTGCTTCTGTAATTAATGTAATTATTAATGTAATAATCAGGTAGGTAAAGCTCCATACAGCGGGTTGGTTTTTTTGAAAAAGATTGTCAGAATTATTGGTAAGTTCTACCTTGGAGAGCAAAGGCAATCAGAGCCATAGTGTCTACATTGCCAGTAACTCCCGCTCACGTACTCTGTGTCTGGGGCTGTCAGGCTGTTGTAGTGAAAAAGGCAATTTCACGTTCAGCAGATCGTTTTTGCTATGAAAATTGGAAAACTGAAGTGAAGGACCACATCAGAATGTTTTCGTATTTCATGCTTTCAAGTGGATCTTGCACAGTTTGGCACATGCGGTGCTTCACGGGTATTTATATCATATCACATTCTTTGCCGTTATACTTCTGGAGACAGCTTACACTTCCCTGGCTGTCGGATTAGAGGGCAAACTTGAGTTTTCCCACCCGCTTTATGGTTAAAATACACTCAACTTTAAACTACAAACTGGCAAGTAGCGTTTCTACCCTCATTCTTCCAGGTAAAATTCCATACTGAGATGATCTGTGTTCCATGCCCTCTTAAATTTTTTTTAACGTAGTAGGAAAAAGTTATTTATTAAGAGCTGTATCTATAGTAGAAAACAAAGTTATTTCCAGGTAAGTTATGAGTATCCCTTTTCTTCCTAAAATATATTTTTTTTTTCCATATGGAATAAAGGGTGGGGTGGGCAGTCCAGACTTCTAGAACATGCTGAAAAAAGAAAACCTACGTACACTCCTTGTGTGCTGTTGAACTGGGAGCTGTGGCAGGGACGTGCTCTGCAACGCGCAGCCGAGTAGCTGCTATTTTAACAGTTAAACCCACTACGTTAATAAAACAAAACTTCTGAACACTAACCCTGCTCAGTTTCAGTATTTTCCCCATTCCTTGTATTTTAGAAGAACGTAAGTAGGTAAGAACCGTAAGTCCAGCTCCACCTTTAACAAAGCAGACAGTCTAAATGCCAGCTTATCAACAAATCCGGCAGATTTCTACACCCTCACCGCCTTACCAGAAGGCAGCCTGGTTACAGGTAGCTCCTGCAGTTGTTTTTTCCTAGATTTTCATTCATTTCCTGAAAAAAACCCAACTTCTCATGGCCGCAAACATCTCAAGTTTACTTGCAATTTAAAAAATTCTCCCCAACTCTATTGCTGGGAGGGCAGGAAGGGCATTAGTGCCTGCAGGTACAGCGCCTGCCTTCTGGGGCAGGCTCCGCGCTGGGAGGCCAGCAGCCCCCGGTCCTGCCTGCGCCCGGCTGTGGCCATTGCTACGTGGGGTGAGGGAGAGACACACGGACACTTCCCTCTTCCATCAGCCTGGGGCCTGACACCGAGCAGCATCTCATCGGGGGGCTTAATCTTTGCAAGAGCTGTTGAAAACAATTTCAGTGTTCTGTGGCTGACGGATTAAAAATAATGCGTGTTCAGGCAAGCAGCATTAAACTACGGGAACACATGGATGTGTCTTATCTCCATCACGCTTACCAGTTTACAAGCGCCGAGTTATAAATGAGATGCCTGATGTAAGACAAACAAGTTATCTCCCAAGCGCATCCACTCCAACATGTCGACCTAATTTTAGATTGCCAAGTCAGAAAGCGCATCCACCTACTCCTGCGGGGCCTTCCACTTCACAGCGCCCACACCAAACGCACAGGACGACGTGATCACAAAACCCCTGCCCCGCAACGGTGTCGGTCTGCACGGCTTCTGCTGCGTGATGCATTTAGCGAGAAACCATCGAGAACGGGAATGGAACAATGTCGTTTCACTTTCCTAACTGAAATGCAACGATATTAAGTACGAAGCGGTGCCCTAGAGGAGGTACTTTTGAAAGGAATTTGTTCTACAAAGTTTCGATGATATTTCTGTACCAAACATTTAATTCAACAAAGGATTGATTACATCAAAAGTGATCGAATTTGAACAGAAAGTAAACAAAAATGCATATTCAATATAGTTTAATATGTATTTTCTGAATTAGAAATATCACTTTCTTAAATGAATGAGAATTTCTAGTGTAATGATCCATTACTCCCCCCCCCGCCACTGAGTTACATTATTTATACATATAATACAGAGCCCATCGCAGTTGGAAACAACAATATTAAAATAAATGTTTAATAGATACAAAGGATCTTTTCTCCACAACATAGTTTCTCTGGTGTCTGGACACCAATTTTAAAGTAATTCTCTATTAGCATTAAACTATTTAAGTGCAAAACAATTTTGTTTTAAAAATCTATGATTGCAGCATCCATCTTCCTGAATAACATTTTGAAGCCAGAAAGTAACGACTTTCATTTTCCATGAGTGCATTCCAGGCTGTCTTCTAGCCATCTCTGGTTAAAAAAATCAGTGCAAAATAAACAATGGTGAAGTACTAGTTTAACCATTGAACTTACTTGGATTTAAGAAACATACTTTATTTTACACTATATATATATATATATCTTTTATTTATATATTTATAGAGAGAGATTAAATTACACTGGACTTGAAAAGTATAAAGAAAACCAAATGCGGGTACAGCGCCTGCCTTCGGGGGCAGGCTCCGCGCTGGGAGGCCAGCAGCCCCCGGTCCTGCCTGCGCCCGGCTGTGGCCATTGCTACGTGGGGTGAGGGAGAGACACACGGACACTTCCCTCTTCCATCAGCCTGGGGCCTGACACCGAGCAGCATCTCATCGGGGGGCTTAATCTTTGCAAGAGCTGTTGAAAACAATTTCAGTGTTCTGTGGCTGACGGATTAAAAATAATGCGTGTTCAGGCAAGCAGCATTAAACTACGGGAACACATGGATGTGTCTTATCTCCATCACGCTTACCCGTTTACAAGCGCCGAGTTATAAATGAGATGCCTGATGTAAGACAAACAAGTTATCTCCCAAGCGCATCCACTCCAACATGTCGACCTAATTTTAGATTGCCAAGTCAGAAAGCGCATCCACCTACTCCTGCGGGGCCTTCCACTTCACAGCGCCCACACCAAACGCACAGGACGACGTGATCACAAAACCCCTGCCCCGCAACGGTGTCGGTCTGCACGGCTTCTGCTGCGTGATGCATTTAGCGAGAAACCATCGAGAACAGGAACGGAACAATGTCGTTTCACTTTCCTAACTGAAATGCAACGATATTAAGTACGAAGCGGTGCCCTAGAGGAGGTACTTTTGAAAGGAATTTGTTCTACAAAGTTTCGATGATATTTCTGTACCAAACATTTAATTCAACAAAGGATTGATTACATCAAAAGTGATCGAATTTGAACAGAAAGTAAACAAAAATGCATATTCAATATAGTTTAATATGTATTTTCTGAATTAGAAATATCACTTTCTTAAATGAATGAGAATTTCTAGTGTAATGATCCATTACTCCCCTCCCCGCCACTGAGTTACATTATTTATACATATAATACAGAGCCCATCGCAGTTGGAAACAACAATATTAAAATAAATGTTTAATAGATACAAAGGATCTTTTCTCCACAACATAGTTTCTCTGGTGTCTGGACACCAATTTTAAAGTAATTCTCTATTAGCATTAAACTATTTAAGTGCAAAACAATTTTGTTTTAAAAATCTATGATTGCAGCATCCATCTTCCTGAATAACATTTTGAAGCCAGAAAGTAACGACTTTCATTTTCCATGAGTGCATTCCAGGCTGTCTTCTAGCCATCTCTGGTTAAAAAAATCAGTGCAAAATAAACAATGGTGAAGTACTAGTTTAACCATTGAACTTACTTGGATTTAAGAAACATACTTTATTTTACACTATATATATATATATATCTTTTATTTATATATTTATAGAGAGAGATTAAATTACACTGGACTTGAAAAGTATAAAGAAAACCAAAAATGTTGCTATTTTTTCCTGCAGCACCAAAGGAAGCTGTTTTTGTTTTGTTTTATTATTTTTTTTTTTTTACACTATATATATATATATATCTTTTATTTATATATTTATAGAGAGAGATTAAATTACACTGGACTTGAAAAGTATAAAGAAAACCAAAAATGTTGCTATTTTTTCCTGCAGCACCAAAGGAAGCTGTTTTTGTTTTGTTTTATTATTTTTTTTTAAGTGAAAACTCTTCCTTGGGTGAGCAGCCTAGCAGTATTATCTGTAATAAGAACTCATTACATTATTCCTTTGCAAATTACTATGTGATTCACATAATTCCATGTTTACGCTCTGCCACATTGTAATTTGTGATGCTCTGTGCCTGAAGAACAGCTCCTGGTTCCACTGTCATTACTTCTTGTCCTGTGTTGAGGGATTTGCTAGCAGTAGTGTGATGGCTATACTACAGTTCCACTTGGAGAATTGGCCTGGGTTTGGGATGACAATAAACCCTGCAAACAAAGCAGTTTACATTAATCCAGCAAGAGAACCTGGCATTAATTTTATAAAGTTCTTAGCCTGAAGCTAAAACGAGTACAGTTTATTTTTACCACCACTTGCTTACTTCTGACATCAGCACCTTCTTTCCTACAAAAGGACCTAAGCCACCATTGCATCAGTCAAGCAGCACACCACAAAAGGGCTTTCAGGAAGAAGGCAGACGCCTGCTTTATGGCACACGATGAATCTGATCCCAGCATTTGATTTAATCTACCTTGCATTTTGAGTCGCCGTGAACTGTGAAACTTTTAAGAACCATACACCAAGAAAGTGATCAGCGTTTCATTAGGGTGGCAGCAAACCAACCTATTCCCACATTCACAAGTTTGACACCTGACCTGGTCCAGGGAAATGCTCAGCCTCTTACATCCTATTGAATATTACAAGCTCTGAATAGACAAATAGATTTAACCAAATACTGATTCTGGTAATTTTAAAAGAGAATTAAACACTGAGCAGGAGTTCAGTGAAGACTTCCCCGTACAATTTAAGCTTGCATTCAGGAAAACCTCTTTGCCAGCTCGTTTAACTACATCGCCGTTCAAATGAAATGAGAGTTACTTCATTTCAGCCATAACGCCGCGGCACCCCTTGCTAGACAGAGGCCACTGTTCGGGGTTAAGGCAACTACACCGTACAGACAGAGCCCAATGGATAGGCTCCATTTCAGATTAATGTATAGTAGCCCCTTTTTAATCATTCATGCAAAAGTAACTGTGTATCAGACTTATTTAGGAAAAACTTAGTATCAAAATACGATTTAGTCTTCTCGCAAGGTCGTTATTTAGTTATAACAAGTGCCAGCAGGCAGAGGAGCGCAACGGCAGCTGAGCTGGAAGCGCACTGATGAGTATCGCTGTGCAACCCCTCGCTACGTAGGCACGACAAATGCACTTTTAGCAATTCCTCTACACAGCTACCAGCTTAGGTTCTTGCCTCAAAATTAAAATCCTGTGACTCAGATCCATCAAACTAGACAAGCTCAGGCAGCAATTGGCACACAATGTGGAATTAGGTCACATCTTCAGAATCTACAGGAGCTCTTTCTTGCTTGGATCCAAGAACTGGAAGGCCATGACTGATGGAAGCAAGCCCTGACCACAGAGAGGAGGTGGAAGGGGGCTGGACTGGCTGGATTCAAGTTCCTACTGAAATCATAGCCCTTCCTTTTAAAACACATCTAATATACACATTATGAATCTGGACACAGTTGTAGGATTTATAGCAGACAGCGTGTGTGCACGCATGCGTGTATATACATGTGCACACATTTTATATTTATATATAATAAATTATGTGGCGCTTAATTTGGTGCCCTCCGTAGATCACACTTGCAGGAAGCAGAATACTTTATTTGTTTATGTAGTGGGTATCTGACTGAAACACTGCTGAGGTAGACTGAAGGGGGTTTGTGGCGCTTAATTTGGTGCCCTCCGTAGATCACGCTTGCAGGAAGCAGAATACTTTATTTTTACTTGTTTATGTAGTGGGTATCTGACTGAAACATTGCTGAGGTAGACTGAAGGGGGTCGGTCTTTAAACTTGACGGACACTCAGGATGTGCAAAGGCACTGCACGTTTCACGAGAAGAGAACAAAAAGTTTCCTAGTTATCAGTTAAGGAATAAATGGCGAAAAGAGGCAGAATTTTGGAGCAAACAACCAAAGCACTTCTGAAAATTTTTACCAAGAGTGTTGTTGGAAAGTGATGAAGATGAATCGGAGCTCTATAGTTCATTACCAATGCATTCTTCAGAAGTCTATTACATCCAGCAGCAACTGGAAGGCCTCTCTTGCCAGATTACACCCACCAAGCAACTTTCAAGTACCCTGGAAGACGATGTCCAAAGGTATTATTTTCAGCCTTTAATAAATGACTGATCCAAACTGTTCATATGCAAATACGTGCTTTATAAGCACACGGAAAGTACTAGGGATGGCATAATGTGAAGTCTTTTTCAACTGTCTACAGCATGGCTATGAGCCTACTAGGGATGGCATAATGTGAAGTCTTTTTCAACAGGCTCATAGCCATGCTGTAGACAAAGAGAAATAAGCTCTATTCTAATATAAGATTTACTCTGTCATGCAGCCAACTGTTTGGAGACAAAAATGAAAAGTCTTTCATTTTCCTGCAACTCCTCTAGAAGCAGGCGGCACATGCTGAAATTCAGTGCGGTGCCTTGTTCCCTGGGAACTACCAGAGACTCTGGAATTCAAGTTCCAAGACTGGGAACAAGGAGTCGCTCAGCCCTGGTTTCATCTCCCAGGCCGTGAAGACTCCCTGGTTTAAAGAGCAGAAGTGCAGCGCAGGTGGCTCCAAGTAAGTGAATACTCGGAACTCCGTATATTTCATCCTTGCTCTGAATTAATTCCGCAGCTCTGAGCAGGCAAGCCAGAGGAACACCAAAGTGGAAAGAATCCCGAGATCAATATCCTTCTGCTGCTGCAGACAGGCATCTCAAAAACTTTGCAAGTACCACCTGAAAACTTGGCCGGGCTACGACGGCACTTCCAGAACTTCACATCTGTGACAGAGATCAGGAATTGTGCGAGTTCTTCCAAGTACGTAATTTCAGAAGACGTCTAAGGCGTTCATACAACAAAAGCAAGAACAAGAATTCAGTTTCTAGGTGTGGAAGCCTTATCGAAGTGGTGAGCGTTCTTGGTGGGTCCTGAGTAACAAAAAGATGATGCAGAATTTGCCATTATACCAGAGCCTTTCAAGCAAGGCCATTTAAGAAGTTGTGCCGGGTGTAACATAAGAAGCTTTAGAAAGCTGCATTAAAAAGCAAGCGAGGGCTCAAAAAAAAGTTAGTTTTGATACAAAGTCATCCTATAAGAGCCCTATCTGTAACACAAAGGGTGCGAGACCAGAATATTTGTAATTGCATTGCCTGGGTTATAAAACGACAGATAAAGTTATAAAAAATATAGAAGGCTCCTGTCTGTAAAGAAAGAATAAAGAAATTAGACTACAGTGCCTTTTGTGATTAAGCCACCCAGCCTGGTCAACCAGGTGGTAAAAGATGGAACAAAAGCTGCTGGGTTTAACAGCTGTGACAGAAAACACAAAAAGGAGGTGCTACAACTGCAGATCTGCTGCGCAGCCCAGTGCATCAGCTTAAAGCTTAAGAGCAAACATCACACTGAGCAAGCAGCAGAAACAAATTAAAAGAGTGTTCAAAAAAGTTTTGAAAATAAATGTAGTCTTTTATTAGCAGTATTATTTTGTCAGCACGTGGGCCTAGCAGGGGGTGGGAAATGGAGCAGTTACGAGACCCAAGCCAGCAATCTGATAAAACAAATCTTCATCAGAGTCTCAGAGAGGGTCCTCCACGTAGGTGCTACATCATCGGCCACCTGAACAGGACGCTCTGTGCCTGAAACGTCCTCCTTTTGCAGGGGACAGCATCGTTTCTCTTGATGTCAGTTAGCAATGTGAGAGTACCGAACACAAACCAGCACGAGCTGCAGGGCTACTCCGTGTTTATCCGTGCAGTCTCTGACTTCCCAAAACACACGGGACTCTGCATACCTGGTAAAAACAGGCTCGCACAGGTAGGAATGAAAAGCCGCAACAGATGCGATCGGTAACGTGACTTCCACCCACGGCTCACGGCGCTCAGCGCTGTGGTCAGTTCAGAAAGACCTGCAGCAGCGGTACGACCAACCCTCTTCACACTTCACGAGATTGCAGGGGGGTATTTTTTTTTAAAATTCCACATATGCTCCAGCCAAAAGTTCAGATTTTTTCCAAAGATATGAAACACAAGGCTTCACAACAGAAACTAATTCTATGAAAGATCAGCACAATTGCTGCATTTAAAAAAAAAAATAAAAAAAAAATCCGGAAGATGCAACGTAAGTAGAAAAAAAAAAAAAGCTATCAATAACTACCAAGTTGATATTTTCTTCATGTAGAATCATAGAATCGTTTAGATTGGAAAAGACCTTCAAGATCATCAAGTCCAACCATTACCCTAACCCTGCCATCCCACCACTAAACCATGTCCTTATGCACCTCGTCTGCATTTGGAGCCACAGATGCCATCATATGCCGTTTCGCTAATCTAGCTAATAAACCGCGAGCCTGGGCACCTGAGCAGGATGCCGAAGTTAACCCCCGCGTGCTGCGTCACCACGCTCCTGGCACAGGCTCAGCCTGCGCCCCGGCCACGAGGGGCTCCCCCAGTAACCTGGCTCAGCCAACGCGCAGTAACTCGCTGGCGTCAGAACTCTGCACGTCTTCCCTACTTTGTTTTGAAATCAAAAGGCAGGAAAAAAAAAAAAAAAACCACAAAGCAAAGGGTCCAATGTAACAACCAATGTAAAAAACCAAACAAATAAAAACCCCAAACCAACTAAACCCTCTTGGGCATATAGAGTTTAATTGGTCTCATTGTACACTTCCCTAATGCAATTAAACCAATTAAAAAAATGGCTGAATTAATGAATGCCCATACAAAAATGGCATTGATTTATTAAACCCTTTCTGCTATTGCCAGTATATGAAATTACTGGCATTTATTATTTGAAGAATATTGCATGAGTACTTTATTCTCGTCCAGAGCTGTGATGTTCCTGGAGTAATCTGAAAAAGTAACACGGACCGAGACCTCTGCTTGACAAAAGAGCCCACAGCCCAATAGAATGTTTGAGTAATAATAATATGCCAAAACAAAATGAGATTTTTCACATCTCTTTAAAATTCTGTAGTCAAATCAGCTGAATTAGTTCTAAGATTTGCATGAACAAAATCTCCAACAGTTTCTTATCCAAATGAATCGGCATTTATTAGCATAAGTCTCTAAACTGCATATACTCAGTAAGTCAGATACTAACCTCTAATGGAGTCATAAAAATAATTAACTGAGAATGTTCAAGGAAGCCCATGCTGAACATTCACATAACATAGGACAGAGAAATATTTTGTATGGGATATAGGGGGATACAGCAAAGCTGACACCTATCTTTACACAGTCTATGCGTTAACAGAGTTTTAAATATATGCTTTTTTTGTTTCTTTGTTCTAGTAGCATCACAGAAAAGTACAAATACTTAAACCATTTGACACCAGATCCTGTAAAAGCATGTAGCGGCATCAAGGTTTCACCTGCAATTTCTCTTCTGCGTACATAAAGGAGTTTTCCTCCTAACAGAGGTGCTTCACTGTTTTACTCATTGTCAACAAGAAGAAAAGTCAAGGCTGCTAGGAAACCAGCAGACTAACTAAAAATCTGTCGAGTGGTACAAGGCAAGCTTACTTCTAGACTAGTATATGATTGGTAAATGGAACATACACGTGTCCAAAAAAAAGCTCAATAACTTAAGATGCAACTACTTGTGTGCTGAGAAAGGCATAAAAGCGTTTTGCCAGGAGAAACCTAATTTGGCTCGAGCAACTGGACCTTAAGCTTCATTTAGGTAGCAAGGGCTCACGCGTGTAGGAATGATTGTTTCTCAAGCTTCCTCACACTGCAAAAGTCTGTCAAGGTTAAAATTTTCAGATTAGAAAATAATGAAATTGAGATAAACCCAGGAAAACCCCATTTGGGTTAGTTGTAAAGTAGGTGTGATCTTAGCAGGAGAAGAAATGAGCGACATGAATTTGATAAGGTTCATCAGCCCCTACCTAAAAATCCAACTTCAAAAACCAGAAAATAATGTGATCATACAAGTTGTTTCCTTCAGAAGTTTGTGCAACATTATTAAATAAAACAAGACGACACTTTCGCATTCCAAGACACCTTTTGCCAAAGTATCTTGTATGACCACAGAGCTTGTGGAAGTTACAATTGTTTCATGCTCACACTGGCTGTTGAGAAACTGGTTTGACCAAACAGTTCTTGCATCATTTGATGTAACTGGATGTTTTCAGAAGCTTTCAGGACTGATTTCATTTTGTTCCACCATTGGCACCTGTTCTTAAATATACTTATGTGATATACATATATATTTAGACCACCATAGTGGTCAATCAGTATCTTCCGAAGTACCAGAAAGTTCTCAAGTTCATATAAGATGATTTCCTCAGAGTATTTTCACCTAAGAGACAAGAGTCCTACCTCAGTTAAAGTGGGCCCAAAGTAACTAACTTTTTCACCGAAATTTCTCAAAAGTGCCTTTGAAACACTTTAGTAAATACAATTTGTTTGGCTCCTTCATCAGTTAACACAGAACCACGGCTGCAAGGGTGACACGATCCCTAGTCCATTCAGATGGAAGGGCAACGTCTTAAGTCTTTGCCTAAATTGGTTCCAAGAAATTCTGCAGCCAAAGTTTCAGATTCACTTAGTTCTAGTTCAGATGAGTTTAGTTCTAGACTAGCCACAGTTTCTCCAGACAGAAAATGCCTGAATCATCTGAGTGAGCCATATCCTCAGGGCTGTAAATTCAGTATGCATTAGGTAAATGTCAAGATCTAAAGCTGGAATAAAGAACATACCCTGCACCAGAGTCCGCAGAGGAAAGAGCTCCTGTAGAGTCCTAGAAGGAACAATGCTCTGCCCCAGCTCCTGTTTGACAGGTAGGCAGAGAGAATCTAGATACATCCGTGTCTGTGTTTTGCTGAATCTGAGTTTAAACAAGTTCGATAAGTGGTTTGATAAGTACTCTATTTCATATTACTCTAGTCCTAAAAAAAAATAAATATCATGAGACATGACCTTATCAGCAAGATTTAAACATCAAAATGTGTGCATAGTCTTGAGATTAAGTGAAACATTTACTCAGAGCCAGTTACAGGATGCGTTCAACTTCTTACTTTAAAATATGGCAAGTTAAACAGCTTTCATTGTGGCCATTTGTTCAGCACAGTATGATAGCGTAAGACCACCTAAGGACTGCAAGATAAATTAAAACTCAAATGTGGAAAGGACTATTGAAAGTTATCTACATTTACAGTTCAATCACACATTTTTATTTAACATCAGTATACAGAGGACAACCCCAGTAAGTTATTTTGTAATGTCAAGTATTTAGTAAAGTTCTTCAGCTGTAACAGTGACAATAGAACAGCTAAAAATAAGCAGTATGAAACAAACATGATCTTCTTAAAATTATAAATATACCAACAATACTTCTTAAAGCTTAATTATTGCAACAGTTAAATTAACAATAGTTCATGTTAGAAAGGCTCTATGAAATTTATTCAAGTTGTCAAGAAATTAGATGGAAGTGTAAAAAGGAAATACATATGAATTTTACTTTTGATTTTCACTAAAGGTAGTCAATACAATTTTGTACAGTATCACCTAACATGTCAATCTTTAACAAACTCCAGTATACAGAATTCATAAAATGCAGAAAAAAAAAATTGTTTAATCTTTACAGGTAAATTGACAGTAAATTAACTGACATAAATTTTATTATTGTAACAGAAGCAGGCCAGCATTTTAAGTATTAATTTAGTAGCTTTATGTTGTTAAAGGGGCAGACATATACAGTCATTCCAAGTACATAATCAAATTTTAAGAGGTGATAATTCAGAACATGGGTTTTCTAAAAAGCGTTTAGTAAAAGTCATGTTATTTCCTAATCCAGACATCCTCATCATAAAGCCTTTACAGGGTTATGATCTCTCCTGGCTTTACCGGAGCCACTAGTCACACCTCCTCACACACGCACACGCGCAAACACACATACCTTGCTATAAATATCACACCAGTGTACTAGGTTTAAATTCACCCTGATAATGCGGGTATGCTATGTGCAACTTCGCTATTATGCACATTACAGAAAGCTTCAAATTTCAGCATGGTAACCTGAAGTCGTATAGCTGTGTTTCAGTTTTACTATAGTCATCCCTGAAGTTTATACAGATACCGTATCACGTTGAAAGAAATCTATTTGATAGTACTTAAATACCAGCAATTGAACTTCAATTGTAATGATGAAATGCTCCTTTCCATTGAGGAAGAATTAGTATGTATAGCTGCTCATCTCACTCAAATATAGTACATGAATGTTTAAGTACTTTCACTAAAACAGAAGTCATACTAAAACATGATACTGTACTACAATTGTAGTTAACTAGAAAATTCAAGGATGTTATAATTTAAGCCTAAGTTTTCCTGTACAATAAGTCAAATAAATAAATTCCATGTGCATTTGTTTTACAAAATGGTAGCATGTTTATCTTGCTAGGTTATACACTGCCATTTCACCTCTTCATACTGCTAGCCAATCTTACCTTGAGCTTTCTTACAAAGGAAACAACTGATCAGCAACTTTTACTTAGATAAAATGGATGGTGAATAGTCAAATCTAAAGTCAAACACAGAAATCATATCGTTTCTCTGCCCGCTAAGTTCAGAGAAAACTTGTTTTGCATATCCAGGTTCCACTTTGGTTTTTCAGGGGTTTTGTTGGATTGGGTTTTTTGTTGGTGGTTTTGTTTTTTTGGTTTGGTGGGGGTTTTTTTTTTGTTGGGTTTTTTTTTGTTTGGTTATTTTTTTTTTTAATTGCTTCTGCAGGTCCTGTAATTCAGTTTGAAGTGGCTATAAAGATAACACAGGGCGTTTACCTTAGTTCCTTTAAAATTCTTTTTCTGTGTTTTCAGATTAATACAACAGTTCTATAGCCCCATTTAGGTTTCCCATCAGGGGCTGGGAAAGACAGGACGGGGGAAGAAGAGACAGCTAACTATCACCATGTCGAGAAGAATGATCATACTCTTGTTAAGGCAACCTGGTTTTCTCACCACCCTGAACCTTCAGAAACAGGCTAACAAAAAGTGAGAGTAAAAAATTCAAACTAATGAATCCCGAGCCTCATTCAACTTGTTTCTTACTGAATTTTGCCATTCACTTGACCTCACCCTGGTTGGGAGTTAGTACAACAGTTCTGGAAGTGCAATGCCAGAGTGGTATATCCAGTGAGGAAGCTCAAGGTATGATTATGCATACACTGAAGTAGTAATTTGGAAAGTTTATAAACAGTGAGGACACTCTGTAAGCACTGTACAGCTTATCAGCTATCACAAGGATCATGGCTGAAGAGACATTTCTGGATTTTTTTTCCACTAAGGGCAGCACCAGCCCAACCAGAAAAATGAAGAGAATTTGTCGTATGCTGTCCAATTACCCAGCACATCTTTTGATGGCTATTAAAAATGAGAGGGAAAGGTAGCGCTGGCTCAACGGAAATTATGTTAGACACTGCAAGCCTGCTTCAGTTTTCCATCCAATTCTTTCTTTCGGCTGGCAGTGGCATGAATTTAATGAAGGCCTTTTGAGGCCATGATGGAAGAAGCAGCAAGATTCAGAGGCTTTCACTCTAGAGTTGGCAGACAAAAACATGACTGAGTTTTAAGATCACTTGGGGACCTATATTTCAAAAGGAAGACTAGAAATAGCAGCTTTAAACCCCAGAGTAATGGGATAGCCTAGGATAAAACAGCTGGTGAAACAGACATGAATGGTATATAACCCAGTAAGAAAGACATTACCACGAGTGTTTTATACTTTGACAATTTTCATTAAATAAAATTAAGTGCTTTCCTATAAACAAAGAGGATGCTCGTAACGTCCTTCTGGCACAAATATTTTCCTATCAAAGCCCTGTAAACATGCCACCAAAATTTAGTTTTTACCAGCAGAGTGAGCTCACTAGAAATGCAAGTGAAATCAGAAAAACAAATTCATTCGAAAATTTCTAAGTAAATACTTCCTAAACAATATGGCATTTACATCAGTGTGCAATATATTAATTTTGAAAGTGATAACTTCAGCATGAAAATTACTTACCTGTAATTAAAGTTTTCCATATTGGCCAATACATAAATCCTGATTTTTTGGTACTGCATACTTTATCTCTGAAATATTTGAAATGTCATATTCCAAATCAAAGTCAATACACACAAATATTTAAGTTATACCCAGCCTAACAAAACCCACCTCAGCCACTGAAGATAAATTTAACAGTGTAGTGTTTAGTAGTACGCAAAGGAGTTGTAGAACAAAAAGAAAATATAGGTCATAATATAAATCTGAGGCACTGCTGTAGATGTAAAGTTAATTCATAAGATACGTGAATTGCACTGAGTTGCAGAAATGATAACTGCTGTAGTAGTTTCATTTAGGACAAACATTCAAAATAGTGTTTGGGGGGGGGGGGGGTTTTTTTTTTTTTTTTTTTAAATTAATGCTGGATCTGTAGTTTTTAGGCCAAAAATACTTTCAGGTAACACCATCCTCCCTTCTCCCCAGAAAAAGTTTTACACGTTTTAGTTTTAGATTCAACCTTTAAATATGCATTAAGATGCAGAGCTGACATAGCTCTCTACACATACCTACGTTGTGACAAATTTGATAACATCTCAAAGCAACTTACATTATACAAACAGTTTTAAGAAAAATTATTGGGTTTTACTTAAAAGTTTATAGCAATGAAAATGTGGTATAGAAATATATACAGTACCTCCACTTCAAAAGTCAGATTTACAAACCAAATGGTTAAAACCTAATGAACATCAGATTTTCATTTAAGGTTGCTCAACTTGGCAATATTCAGGTATTACCAGATTACTTCTGTTTCTTCAGGTGATAAATTACATCCCCTTTCAGAATTTTTCACAAAAATAATAGTCCTTCCTGCTAGATCAACTCTGGTAATGTTTTCATAGCTGTATTCCTTTGAAATGTTGCTGGCAAGCAAAGCTATTGTAGCACAAAGTACTTTTTTAATAAAATAATCACCACATTTAGCTTCATTCAAAATTTAGCTTGCTATACATTGGACAAAAGAAAAAGAAAGTTTTATCTGTGTTCAAGTGCATTAACAACAAGAGTTAAAACTAGTAATATATTTTAATGAAGGTTCAACTGATAGAACAGGTGCCATCAAAAAGCATGAGCTTGTCGATGATCAAATTGCCTAACAAAACTGACAGTAACGTAACACTGAAACTTAGAGAAAGCTTGCATGATTTTCCCTAATTTAACAAATACATCAATCAAAAATTAGAGTTCCTCGATAATACTGATTCACAATTTCAAGAGCATAAACTACAGTCAGTAAAAGGGCTCACAAATCTGTGCATAAAATGGCTGACGTTTTAACAAGAAGTGGTTTTACATTAATGGCAGGCCACCACAGAAAAGTATGGAGGAACAAAACACTTTGGTTTTAATTTTTTCAGAGGCTCACATGTCTCATTAGCCTTACAAGCAGCAGCTTTTCATAAGCTACTCTCATTGGGAGTGCTGTATTTTGTAGAAAACATTAGAAGGATTATAATTATTTTAGTGATTGACAGGTTTTACTTCAATTTTTACATAAATAACTTTCACCATATTGTGGTTATGCTTAAGTATAAGAACACTGATCAATAGTTTAGATGCACAGTATTTATTTCTTCTGCTGGAAGGCAACTATACTTAATAATTGTATCCAAGACACTTCAAATCATTCAGAAATATGGCATGCAGTATCCAAAAGTATGGCTCTGAGGATTTTTTTTTTTTTTTTACATTAAGCATAAAGAAATTTTATATTCAACATTCATTTATATTTCAAGAAAACTACCTATTCAGAGTTCTAGTTCTTTGATGCAGCATTAAGGATTAAAACTTACCACTTTACCAGGCCTTGCCCATGTGCAAATAAATCCCTCCTGACAAGCAGTGACTATACAGTCTTCAAGAAAAATTAACACAGTCAGTCTTTCATGTGCTATCTTTTTACAGATAAGAGGCTCTAACAAGGGAACATCTTCCATTCGGGGACAGAGAGGTGTTCCCAAAGTTTTAGCTGGGTCCGTTTTGGTTTTAGTAACTAGGTTCAGTTTGTCACTGCTCTTGCTAGATATATGTCCCATGCTATGATTTCTCTTGTGATCTTTTTCATGGTGTCTTTCCTTCCGATCGTGTAGCGATAAGGTTGCAAATTTACTAACGCCAGAAGCAATGGCACCATCCATGACACTGCTTTTACTGCCAGCATTTGAGACTGCAGAGTGTGGAAGGCTGTTTGACCGTGGAAGAGGAGGGGGTACAGAGTTTCCAGGTGTTGTGATACTGTTTCCATTACTTCCTGGGTTAGTTCCACCACTTCCAGCAGGTGGACTTGTGGCATTCATGACATTTGTATGTGTCCTTGCTCTTGAGAGAGGTTGGTGGGGGAAGAGGATATCTTCTGTAAGATCCCACAAACAGAGCTGTGTGTCCTGGCCTACTGAACCAAATCTATACGTAACACTTACTGGACGACTGTCTGTAGAGTTCCTTTTGGATAGCCTAGATTGCGTACTATTTGCTCGATCTCTGCCAAAATGAAGGTCTTGGAAATCCTCATCACTTCCGCTAAATTCCATCGGGTCACTCTCTTCTACACTAGTGGTATATGGATCAAACGCAACAACACTGACCCACGATTTATGTCCGTGGCCTCTCGCTATTACTCGACAGTCCACGAAAGACCAAACCGTTACCAAGTCATCCTCTCCACCTGTCACTATGTACTTCCCATCGGGACTCCAACACACACACAGCAGTCCTCCAAAGTAGCTTTTCATTGTACCATGCAATTCCACTGAATCAAAGTTAAACACACGAAGAAAACCATCCTGGCTCACACATGCCAAGAACTTCCCATCTGGGGAAAAGGCAAATTCATTCAGGGCACCCTCACCTACTGTCCATTTAAGCAGAGGGTTTCTTGTGGATTTACTCTTGCAAGTGTGAACTGCAAAACTTTCTCCTTGTTTAAGTAGCTGGTAGTGCGGGGCTGTGGTACCACAAGTGTGCTCCACGTTATACAAGTACATATTGCCACTGGAATGAGCTACTAGGAAAAGGCTTTCCGAACCTGGTACCCATTTTACACAGGTTACTCTGGACTTGTCTATTAGTCTCTGTGAAAAACAAAGAAGATACATATCAGAAAGTCTGAAAATTAAAGTTTTAATGATTAACTCTATATCTCAGCTTGCTGGGGGGATGGGGAACAATACTTAAGCAAAGTGAGCTCAACTTTCTAGAAGGGAGCTATGTTACTGTATTTGCAAAAACTTATCATCTTATCAGGCAGTAAAGAAGAAATTATTTTTAGACAAAGTGCTACCAAAGGTTGCTATTATTACGGTCCAGTCACATTCCACAAAGAACATACTTCAATCAAGCCAATCTGTTGTTATGAATCTAAAGGTAGCGTTCTTAGGTTTATTTTTCACTGTAGGTTGAAGAGCATGAAAAGGAAACAATCAAGAAAACACAGAATGAGCTAAAGGGAAAAAACGCAGTTACTCATCTGTACTACATAGCAAACAAGTTACAAACCAACAACAGTAAATTTAGAGTCTGGTTTTATCTGAAATCACCAATAAAATCCATCCTCTGAAAAAAGAAAAGAAAAAGAGGCTTTAGGAGCCTTTACCAGCTTTTAGGGATTCAGGGAGCAAAAGCTACACACACAGTGACCCTGTTACCATGTGGCTGGAAACTTAGTAGTTCATGTGGTTCACTGAATTCAGAAGGCACCACATACTCTTCAGCTTGGAATCCTCACACTCAAATTACTTTTTATTCATTAGCCAAGGACCTGTCAGTACTCTGTTACCACCTGATTAAGAAGTTTCCTTTACAGAAAAACATTTTAATAGAGTCCATCATTGCAAAAGAAAGAACACACACATTAAACAAACGTTCCTGATCATAACGTCTTCAATGTTGTAAGAACTGAGAGATAAAATTTGACTCCTTGAGTTTGCTAGTGGAGTTCTGGTGGACTTCTAAAACTTACCAAGTCAGCCATGGCATCACTCAATTGCAACTTGGAGACAAATAATTCTTTATATGCACATTCAAGATTTGTATTTGGTATAGATTGATTATAGGTTGAAAGAGAGCTGAGCTACACAAAAGGCAAGAATGCAAACACAAAGAGCCTAAGGAAATACCAGAACAAGTTACAAAAGCATTAAAAAAACAAAGCAACAAAAATTTCCCCCTAGAACCTCGCTATGCTGCTATCACAAACAAAAAACCAAACTAATAGATAATACATTGCCTGTTAACCATTCTGGAACTGTAACTATCACTGCAAAGCAGCACCTGGTCATTTTAGATTATACTTTTGCAAATACTTTTGCTGCTGTCAATTCTACTGTAAGAGCAGGAAGCCTCTCCTCTCTCTCTTCTCATTGATTAAATTGGCCATTTTGTACTTGAGAGCAGAGAGATGTAACTTAATCTGCAAACTTTTCCTCAAATGCGGTAGCTTTAAAATAACATATTCTTTGCTTCTCTTGTGATATTTTAAATAGTTTGTCACGTCTCGTTCATGTCTCAGTAATGATGATACCAGAAATATTAGACAGAAAGTTACCTGGTACATACCAAGAGAATATGGACAGGGAACACCAGCCCAGCTGGCTTACTATAGGCAATCATCTTCTCATTATGAAACTACCGCTAATATGGTAACAAAGCGCAATTGCTTGCTCTCCTCTGCTAGAGCAGCTCAACCTGACATACAATCTCTACTCATAAGAGCAGTTGCTCAACTTTTATACTAGAAATGGCATTTTAAGCCCATAATCATGTTGGGCTACACAACCTTAAATATTGTACAGAAATCCTGCAAACCTGATCTTTACCTCAAGGAGGCTACGAACAAAACAGAAGATGCAATCTGCAATGAAAACAGATTAGCTCAAAGAGACAAGACACAGAGAGGCTTTAAGCTCATATGTAGCAAGTGACTACAACTCAAAAACTAGGAAGTTACAACTTTCTGAAGTTCTAAAAGCTTTCAACTGGGCTCACACACTTCTGCAGCACAACAAAACAAGACATGAAGTCAGCATGACTGGCAGATGCATTACAAGAATGGACTGAATGCAGCAACACGCAAATCAGTGGGGAGGCTGGGATAATCAGAATCATAGAATGTTTTGGGTTGGAAGGGACCCCTAGAGGTCATCTAGTCCAACCCCCCTGCAGGGAGCAGGGACACCGCTAACTAGATCAGGTTGCTCAGAGCCCCGTCCACCCTGGCCTTGGATGTTTCCAGGGATGGGGCCTCCACTACCTCTCTAGGCAACCCATTCCAGTGTTTCACTACCCTCACTGTAAAGAATTTCTTCCTTATATCCAGTCTAAACCTACCCTGGTTTAGTTTAAAACCATCACCCCTTGTCCTGACACAGCTGGCCCTACTAAAAAGATTTTCCCCCTCTTTCCTATAGGCCCCCTTTAGGTACTGAAAGGCCGCAATCAGGTCTCCCCGCAGCCTTCTCTTCTCCAGGCCGAACAAGCCCAACTCCCTCAGCCTGTCCTCCTAGGAGAGGTGCTCCAGCCCTCGGATCATTTTTGTAGGCCTCCTCTGGACCTGCTCCAACACTTCCATGTCCTTCTTGTGCTGAGGGCTCCAGAGCTGGATGCAGTACTCTAGGTGAGGTCTCACCACAGCAGAGTAGAGGGGCAGAATCACCTCCTTCAACCTGCTGGCCACGCTTCTCCTGATGCAGCCCAGGGTACGGTTGGCCTTCTGGGCTGCCAGCGCATTGCTGGCTCATGTCCCGCTTTTCATCCACCAGTACCCCCAAGTCCCTCTCAGCAAGGATGCTCTCAGTCCTTTCTTTCCCCAGCCTGTATTGATATGGGGGGTTACCCCGACCCATGTGCAGGACCTTGCACTTGGCCTTGTTGAGCCTCATGAGGTGCACACAGGCCCACCTCTCCAGCTCCTCCAGGTCTCTTTGGATGACATCCTGTCCTTCTGGTGTGTCAACTGCACCACTCAGCTTGGTGTCATCCTCAAAGGAGCTTATGTTCAGTTTGGTGGAAGAATAGTAAGTGAAGGGACTTCAGTCACCAGTCAAGAAGACCAGCCAAGTACGAATATCTTGGTAGTCATGTTTTGAACAAGCTTGAAGGGACAAAATTACAGGCACACACCACAAAGGAGTGAAAAAACTGAGGAAATCAAGGAATATGCACTGAAGTTAGGCAGCACAGGTATAGGAAAGTTTATTAGGAAAAAATGCAGCTTAAGGCTTTAGTTTAAATAAAAAAAGAATTAAAAAATAAGATGAAAGAAACAGAATTCAGTTGGCTGGCTTGAGAATAACCAGCTATCACCTGGAAACAACTGAATCTGTGAGGTATACTTGGCTGGTTTTGGGAATAAGAAAATATCACTAATTTAATTCTGACACAGCTAGAAGGAATACCACCATTGATATAGATTGATTTAGGTAAGCAGCCACAAGCTGCATAGTATCACTCACCTCAGCCTTTCAAGTCCCTATTGTCTTCTACATCAATAGAATTAAAAAAAGAAAAAGGAAGAGTAACAAGTTAGACTGCATTAAGGTTACTGTGTTTTAAGTTCAACATAATCTTCCGTGTCATAACAGGTTAAGTTATTTCACATATCACATAAGATTAAGTGCGATCCTGATTGCTTTATCACAGGTGGTAGTCAAAACAGAGCTTTAGGCTACCTAAATCACCAAATTACAAACAGGACAGGACAGGAAGCGAATTCTACTACCTCTAGCACTAGTGCTAAATCTGTCGAAAGACAAACACTCCTTTAGACCACCTTCTGCCAACGAAGACGTGTATAATTCTCAAACATCATCTAAACTCTAAATACATTCAAAACCCAACAGCCACCTTCATCTTGAAGCAAACAAACTGGCTCAAACATCAATGCTCACTGACGTTTCTCTGAAATGGCTTTTAGATACAACCCAGAACTTCCAAACATGTCCTTCCAAACTTCAGTACTGTTAATTGATTAAAAATACATAAAAGTTTTAGAATTGGTTGTAACTGCAGATAAGATCAGTGTGGGAAACAAGAACTTAACTCTAGTCGACTGTCTGTGTAGTTTTGGCAGCAAATCCTCATGTTAGCTTTGCAGAAAATAGATCATTTAATTTCCACCAAACTGTCAAAGCATGTATTCCCACCACAATGAAGTAATGCTGGTTATAGCACAGAGAAAAGACAATACTGTCTAATGGAAAGTGGTTTCAGTGCTTCCATCATTTGTGGACTACCACAAGAACTCTTCAGCCTGCAATGCAGCTTTACACTGTAGGTGCTAAACAATAAACAACATTATGGCATGTAAACATGCATTGGACCTTTATGTAAGTACTTCAGCAGAAGTTTTTCTCAAGGCAACTATAGTTCAGAACTGCTCTGTGCTATGAAATTCAAGCTGTTTATAGTATTTTATTGCCATTCATAATACTTACACTATTATCATACAAGATTAAATCGGAGCTGTACTTACACAAGTAACTTCTTCACATCCAGACTAGCACTCCAAGTAGTGAAGTTGCATCAGTGACAAAGTTTGGGGTTTTTTGGTTTGGGGTGGGTTGTGGTTTTTTGGAGGGGTGGTAGTGCAGGGGGAGGTATGTTAGGACAATGCTAAAATGAACATTTCAACTACTTATACAGAGGTTTCTACCAAAGAGTACTCTGTGCAACATCAAGAGATTCTCCAGCGCTGTTTCCCACTCAATACAAGCAGAGACACAGAGCAGGTGGGAAAAGGCTAGGTAAGAGGAAAAATGCCCCTCTTCTGATCTAGATGTAGCTACTTTTAGAAAGCTGAGGAGGAATTAAGACAGTTCTAATTATAAAACATCCCCATTGAGAACAATACTTCAGTCTTCTTTGCACAAAGACAGAGCAAGGCAACACATTTCTCTGAGGTGGGAAAGATATGCTTGCTCAGTTTGAAAGCTGAGCAAGTCTTAACTTCATCTGCAAATCTCTTATCCAGATTTGAAATTTCTGAAAAAAACCAAAACAAAAACCAAACAAACCCAAGAAACAAAACTGCAAAGCACTTTGCTATTACCTCCACACACAATTCACCTGCAGCTGGATTAAAACACAAAAAGGAGCAAAAACCACCCCCAAAAACCCAATCATCCTCCTCAAACCACCCAAATTCCCACAGCTTATCCTCTGCAGAAAATGCTGTCAAAAGTTGTACCAGTTACCAGATTTCTTTCCTTATTATCATCCAGACACTTACTCTTCTAAGAATGCCAATACTACCAGATAATCAGCTAGTGGTCTTGTAACTTGGCATTAGTCCCCCCCTAGTATTCCCTTCTGTCTTTCCTTATTGCACAGCAGCAGAAAAAGCAGATGGAGAGTTTCCTTCAGGAACATCACATGGCCAAGACCTCATAAGCCTTCATCTTCTTCTATGCAACATTCAGCTTGATATCCTTGTCTTCCCCAAGCAAACCTTTAGGAACCGTTGATAGTTTCTGCTGTAACATCCTGACCATAAAAATTGGTATTTTTACCTTATTTAATGTTTTGACCGTAATATATTAGTTAAATAAGGGCTTAAATGTTTTATTCTTCATTCGGAACCAGAAGCCTCAAAAACAACTGACTGCAGAGCACACTTATATTTGTAGACCTTTTTTCCATCAGTTAATTGTCATTAACTCTACTTGCAGTATTACTCAAACTAGAAAGTCCTAATTTTTAATCTTAAACCCTAAAAGATTCCTTCATGAGTAACGTTTTTGTCTAGGTATTCCAAGCCAGTGAAACAGCTGAAAAACAAAGTGACTGAATGATAAGCTATAGAGGCAAACGGAGCCATCTACAGAACTTGAGAATCTAGGATCTTTAACATTACAAATACATTGCATGCAACAATGTTAAGATTTCTACTTACTTCCTCATTAAATAGTTTGCTAGTTTCTTTTTTAATAGGATCTATAAGTTGGACCTGGCCTGCAGAGAAGCCCACTAGAAGAGACACACTTTCTGCTGTGGCTGTTAAGTGATTGAAGTCATGGCATGTAGGCTGTGTTCCTTTGTATATCCTTTTGTCTATTGGTTTACTCAAGTCCGCAGCCTGCAAAGAGAGCAAACAGAATTAAGACAGTTTATCACAATGTGTGCATATAACCAGTTCCATTTGCAAGTAATGTTTATACTCAGCAACAATTTATGCAGTCACAAACCCTTACTTTAAAAAAGTAGCTTTGTATTTATCAAAGACATCTAAGATGTTGTCAGAAGGTTTGTCTTTTCATATAAAGCAATATTTGTGTTTTTCAATTTTGCTAAACACTATACCTACCCTAGCCTTTGCAATCACATCACACAACAAACCAATGACAACCATTCAGTAACACAAAGGTGCCGGTGGTCCTCAAGATCAACCTATTCCCAGAAAGCTTCTCCTGTCAGAGGGGCATTCCATGACACAGAGACAAGATACCTTCTACTTTCCTAGAAGCAGCTTTCTCAATATTGAGTACAACAAATTTTGGATTAAAAATGCCATATTCTCAATCACCTGATACTTGTACTGTAAGTCTATCCTTTTATAACAGGCAAACATACAATATTGGTGGTCAATAATATTGGCCTCAATAATTAATAAAATGATCAACTAGATCCTAGGAGCACTGACTCAAGATGCTGATACTGTGATTATAAAATACACTTTAAGCCATTAAGCTACAAAGTAATTGTGCTTCTGACACTGAACATAGAATTCAAATATAGCTCAAAGTAAGCGCTAACAAAACTGAGGAAATTCAATATAAACAACTGAAGATCTGGCACTGAAGTGTCAGAAGAATCAAAAGGAACAGAAAAGCAATTTAAAATGCGCTCTCAGTTGTGTAACCCATGGTTATCCCCATATCACTTCTGAACAGACAACCTAATCTTTCATCATCCAGAGATTAAAACCCACACATTTAATATGCAAGATCATACAACAGGTTCAACCGGGGTTTTTTTCTTTGTTTTTTGGTGTTTTTTTTTTCCCCAAAAAACTCCCTATTTACTAGGTTGAGAGCCTGTAATTAGAAAGCTGCAGATACCCAACAATATTACAGACCTGAGATGCAGCTGAGATTTGGGACTCAGATTTTAAGTCTGATATATACTTTTCCAGTATTTTTAGTCAGAGGAAATCTGGCCAGCAATATAAGAAACAAAAACTTCTTTGAGGAAGAGGACAAGCTTCACAGAAAATTGCTCTAGTGTACTAAACCTTCAAGGATGAGGTCTAAATAGCAGCAAATCCTTGGTGTGCTTGGAGCTACACAGACAGAAACTAGACTTGTCAGTAGGGAAAAACTGTAACTAGCTACGCGGTGAATCATGTCAGGTGAGCCATTTCCAAGGCAAATTTAACTAGGGGATACACATGATAAGCATATATATGCAAAAGTATTAAAGTTGCACTTAATGGTTTGCAGCATATATTATAAACTGGTTTAATCAGGTGTACAGCCTCCTAGTTGAAAATTCAAAAATGAGATTATGTATTCCAGCTTCTAATCTCAGCAGATGAAAAAGTTATTCTCCAGAGCTCAGAGATCCATTACAAGCTAAAAAAGAGTATTAGCAATACCTCTTCAAGGAGAACTTAAATAGAATACTAGCTCTACTGGGAGATCATAGGATAAGGTGCATGCCTGCCAATGAGCATTCACAGACACATGTAAATCTGTAATATGAAGCTGAAAGATCAAATCCTAGAGGCCATGTAGTTCTCTCTTACATTGTGCAAGACTCCTTTGTGCTGTATCACTATAGAATAAGTGATATTAAGGGATCATTCTCAAAACGGAGGTAGGTTTTTTATCTGGAAGACCATTCTATAGAAAAATATAGATGTATCCCTCCATACCTCAAAGAAATGCAGGATTAATGAGGTACCACATCTCTCTCCTCTCACCTATGAGACTAGAGGCCATGTCCTCTGGACAAAAGTTCCAGCAGGACACAAGGCCTAAGAAGGAAGATCCCTTTTAAAGTAAACAGAAATCAGCCTGAATCATGCCGAATGATTGAAGAAACACAGACTCTCCCAGCCAGCAGAAAACACAGGTATTCCCAGGTTGTTCTCCTTTTGAATCCTCACCATAGTTTTAAGCAGCAAATGAACCAAGCGGCGGCTATTTTTTTGGAACTATACCTTGCTCTTTTGTCTGGTTGAGGTTTTGTATCACTAGCTTTCGGTTTTGTTGTCCAACAAATTTGGTGTGACTGAAGTTGCCCATCTTCTGAAATTATGTGATAACAGATCTAGCAAGACATGAAATTCTCATAAATTAAATCTAAGCACAGACTTCACTGTGCTTGTTCTAGCTGTTCTCTGGTAACCAGATGGCAGTGGCAATCTGTCTGAATTTAAATGGAGTATAAATAAACTAATTCAACCCAGAATTACCAGGCCTCTACTGACAGGTTTGCCCCGCCTTTTATTTACATGCAGCTAGTGTTTTCAGTTAAAATATAGTTGTCTTGTGGACATAAGTCAAATCTACAAGTACAAAAGTCTTTAGCTTTGATGTCTCTTAATTGAAAGACAGGGTAGAATCAATGAGCACAAGAACTAGGAGACATTTTCTTTATTTCCGCACAGTTGAAGGTTGCTCTTGGATTTTGGTAAGAACAAGAAAAGAGCTTACTCATAAAATTCAATCGCGCCTGGGACTCAGCATTTCATTAGCTCACCACTAAGTCCATTTGCTACAGCTATTTTGCGGAAGATTTGATTCTCAGAAAAGAGCTTTTATGTGAGAGCTCAGTTTACAGCTGTGAAATCCTAGGATATGACACTATTTACTGAACAAGGTGATGTGAACTGCCCGCCTCTCAGAAGAATGGTGATGTACTCTGAAAGAGAACAGAAAGATCTTGGGATTAAGTGTTACCAAACATGGAGGCTAAAAGCACAGGATCAGGCACCCTCACCTCTGCTTGAGCTGGTAGCAAGCTATTTGCATGCTTTCTGTCCCATTCCTTTAACTCTTTCTTCTGAAAAACACTCAGCACTATTCCACCCTGTCCACTTTGATAAACTTACTCCATTGTGGATGATTCATATTGAGAGCAACGCTTTGTAATTAAAACTTTTACGTCTAATCACAACTGAAAGGTTGGGGCATCTAACTGTCCCAGGTATTAGCACCTGGGACAACTGATACCTGTGTTAGAAGTCTGCTCCTTCCAACATACAGTGGTATTTGAAGTATCCCTTGGTCAAAGAAACAAGGAATAATGGTTATCAGGCAACAAGAATAAGAGGAATCTCACGCACCACCAGTCTAAAGTCAGTGACGCAGATGAACAAAACAGGTATACCTTGGGCATCAACTGCTTCCCAGTCCTGTCTTTGAACAGATTAAAACTCTCTAGAGAACCTTACACTTACAGAAGAAAAAAGGACCAACTTTGCCATTTAGTTCTTTGCGATGAATTTGTACCCTAGAAACAAAACATGAGCCATGTAACTGTTTTAGGGACTTCCTAGTCCCATTTAGTTAACTTTCACAGCACATTATTTTAACAAAATTACACTCACTCTGCTGGGGTAGGGAGAAGAAAACAAATGAAAATCTGACAATCTAGCAGCGGCCCATTCACCCTGAATCACAACTTCCTGCAGAAAGGCAGTCAAGTAGAACATCTTAACCACAGCTTTAAGTACCTAAACACTAAGAAGAAAATGAAAAAAACCAACCAAACAAAAAAAACCCCTTAACAACAACAACAAAACCCAAACCATCAGTTATCCCAGTCTGAAGCAAATATTTAAGTTTTCAGAATCTGATGTCTGAAACATCTGATTAAGATGGGCATCGATAACCTTGGTTCTGTAGCTGCCTGTAATTCTAAGGTCAAAGCTAGATTAATATCTGTCCAAGATTCACTCTTTTTATGTACTATTGATCTGAGACTTAGAGCTTTCATACTAAGATTTCCCAAACAGTGAATCACATTATTTCAAGTCAGCATTTAATCATGCTCCTTGACAGATGCGATTTCTTCCTGTATCTTTTCTTTTCCTAACTTACATCTGCAGCTTTCTGCAAATTTTAGTTGAATGAAATGTATCATACATGCTACATTTCCTTCCAAGCTAAAAAATATCTCCAAGACCAGAAATGAATTATTTAGTAATTTATGTCAGATAATTTCAACTGTAGTCATCAAAATGCTTCCTTTAGATATATAATAGTGTTTAATATCACATTTGCCAGGAGACTGGCTTTCAATGGGTCACAGCTGTAAGTGAGATCGAGACAGATTATTAGGTCTTTAAGCCTGTGGGAGCGAGGGCAAACATTTAATAAAAATTTTACTTCTAAAAATCTTCTTAACAAAATCTCTCTTGTCCAGAGAATGAATTGATCTTGAATGGCAGATTACAGATTGGCTATGTATGAAGTGCTCCAGTGCAAAATAAAAGAGAAGACAAAGAACCAAGATAATATACTTTTGAAAACACCTCTGGAGCTTGGAATTCACCACTTAATACCTGTAGCTTGATATCTCTTCAAGACCTTGCTGTCCAGGGATTTATTGGTCCCTGATCTATAAACAGAACAATTTGAGAAAGCTGTGCTTGTTCTAATGCTACATAAGTAACACGAGAAATCAGCTCTTAGAATTATTACTAAGTGATCTATATTGAACTTTACAGATGCTCTTTAAACCTTAGCTGAAAAAAAGAGGCAAGGTAACCCTTGCTGCAGCACTTTGCCTTACAGGATCTCCTAGTGAACAGGGCAGGGCCTTCCAGGACAGACTCATTAACTGTATTAGCAAGTACAGGTGAAACTAAACCAGGAGGCCCCTTACAGCTTATTTATTCTTCCTCCATGCCTGTGCTGGTCTCCCTCTCCTTCCTGCAGAGCTAGCTGAAAGACAGAGAAAGTTGAGGAACACAGCAAGAAAGCTGAGTTATCCCAGGCACTTCCATAGAATTTTCTGGTGAACACTGTTGATTGTTTCTATACACAAGAGTCTCTGCCAGAAATACTGGCTGCAATACTTCACACTGGAAATCCCTCTAATTACTTTATTAGCAAAGGAGTCGATTTC